TACTATATGATTGCAACTTATATAAGATATCTAGAATTGGAAAATTAAAAGAGAAAGAAAGCAAATTAGAGGTTACTAGGGGCTGGGTGTAGGTGGTAATGTAGAGTTATTGTTAATGGATATGGAGTTCTGTTTGGGAGGATAACATTCGGAGATTTCCAGTTTCCAGCCTGGCAAGCAAGGAGAACAGAAGTTGTCACTCTGTCCTAGCAACAAGTAAAAAGCTGAACAACTGAAAAATCAACTATAGTATTCTTCTTGGATCAGAGAAGTGAGGTCATAGGGAAAACTGCTGTCCCAAAATTGGATAGGCAAATATGACGAATAAAACAATTTAACAGAGCAGAAACCTCTGCAGGAACCAGTGTCAGAGGAGGAAAAGCTGAGTTGTTGTTGACAAACTGCTGGAGACTCAGCGTAAATAAGAGTGAAAGAATGAAGATCAGAGCCAGAGTAAGAAATGGCAGGGATGCGGGAATTACAACTGTGATTAATATGCTAAGGGCACTAATGGAAAAAATAAACAACATCCAAGAACAGATGGATAATGTAAATAGAGAGATGCACATTCTCAGAAAAAAAAAAGATGCTAGAGATAAAAAAGAACAATGTAAGTAAAATGAGGAAAGCTTCTGATGGGCTCATTAGTAAACTGGACATGGCTGAAGAAAGAATCTCTGAGCTTGAGGATATAACAACAGAAATTTCTGAAACTGAAAAGCAACGAGAAAAAAAAAACCTGAAAAAACCTCCCAATATCCAAGAACTGTGAGATAACCACAAAAAGTGTAACATTTATGTATAGGAGGAAAGACATAAACAGAAGCAACAGGATTGAGAACTGCCCCAAATTAATGTCAGACACCAGATAACAGATCCAGGAAGCTCAGAGAACACTAGGCAGGATAAAAGGCCCCCAAACTACATCTAAGCATATCACATTCAAACCTCAGAAAATCAGATGAAAAGGTCTTGGGAGAAGCCAGAAGGGGGAAAAAACATTTTACCTATGGAGAAGCAAAGATTAAAAATTGCATCTGACTTCTCCTAAGAAATGAAAGGAGGAAGAGTAGAGTACAATATTTAAAGGGCTGAGAGAAAAAACTACTAATCTAGAATTCTATACCCTGTGAAATTATCCTTCACAAGTAAAGGAGAATAAAGGCATTCTCAGACAACAAAAACTGAGGGAATTTCTTGCCAGCAGACCTGCCTTATAAGAAATACCTTTTCAGAGAGAAGGGAAATGATATATGATAGAAATTTGGATTTGCATGCAGAAAGGAAAAGCATCAAAGAATCAATAACAAGGCAAAATAAAAACTTATTTTTCTTATTCTTAATTGATCTAACACATAGTAGTTTAAGGTAATAAACGGCAACAATGTATTTGATAATGTATGCTTATGTATGTAAGAGCTTGCCTGGTGGCCCAGACAGTGAAGGATCTGCCTGCAGTGCAGGGGACCTGGGTTCGATCCCTGGTTCAAGAAGACCCCCTGGCAAAGGGAATGGCAACCCACTTCAGTATTCTTGCCTGGAGAATTCCATGGACAGAGGAGCAGTGGGCTGCAGTCATGGGGTTGTGAAGAGCAGGACACAACTGAGTACCTAACACACTCATCCATATACATGATTAAGTAAAAGTGAAATGAATGAGAGCAATGACACAAGGGATAGGAGGGAAAAACTGGGCATATAGGTACTTTCAGTGAAGCACTATGTGTTATTTGAAAGAGGACTCAGTTATAGATAAATAGTACAAACTCTAGGGCAAGAACTGGAAAACAAGTCTTTAAAAAAAGTACAAATGATATGCTAAGAAATGAGAGAAAATGGAATCGTAAAATGCTGTTAAAACCACAAATGGTCCCATTACAGTATACTAACACATATATATGGAATTTAGAAAGATGGTAACAATAACCCTATATGCAAAACAGAAAAAGAGACTCAGATGTATAGAACAGACTTGTGGACTCTGGGAGAAGGCAAGGGTGGGATGTTTCAAGAGAACAGCATCGAAATATGTATATTATCTAGGGTGAAACAGATCACCAGCCCAGGTTGGGTGCATGAGACAAGTGCTCGGGCCTGGTGCACTGGGAAGACCCAGAGGGATCGGGTGGAGAGGGAGGTGGGAGGGGGGATCGGGATGGGGAATACATGTAAATCCATGGCTAATTTATTTCAATGTATGACCAAAACCACTGCAATGATGTAAAGTAATTAGCCTCCAACTAATAAAAATAAATGGGGAAAAAAAAAAACAAAACCACAAATGGCAGGAAAAAAATGTAAAATACAAAAACAAAGAACAAGAGTAACAAGTAGAAAATAATAACAAATATGGTAAATATTAGTCCAATTATATTAATGATCACTTTAAATGTCAATGATTTGAATACATAGAGACTGTCAGAGTGGATCAAAAAAAAAAAAAAAAGCCCTAACTATATGTTGTCTACAAGAAATCAACTTTAAATATAGACACATACAGATTCAAAGTAAACAGATATAGAAAGATATACAATGATACCACCAATAAGAAAGCAGGAGTAGCTATACTAATTTCAGAGAGAGCACACTTCAGAGCAAGGAAGATAACCCGGGATAAAGAGGGGCATAACCTAATGATAAAGAGGTCAATATTCCAAGAAGACATAACCAATCCTTAAGGTGTATGTACCTAACAACAGGGTGTCAAAATATGTGAGGCAAAAACTGACAGCACCGCAAGGAAAACAGAAGAATCCATTATTAGTTGGAGACTTTAATACCCCTCTCAGAAAAGGAGAGATCGAGCAGGCAGAAAATTGGTAAGGATATAGTTGAACTTAACAGCTTCATCAATCAAGTGAATATAATTGACATTTATAGACTATTTCATTCAACAATAGCAGATTACACATTCTTCCCAGACTCGCACACAACATTCACCAGATAGACCATACTTGGGCCATAAAACACACCTTAACAAATTAAAAAAAAATAGAAATCATATGATGTCTGCTCTTAGACCACAATGGAATTAAACCAGAAATCAATAACAAAAAGATAGCTGGTAAAGCCCCAAATGCTTGGAAATTAAACAGCACAGTTCTAAGTAACACATAGGTCAAAAAATATTTTGAAATAAATGGAGAAGTTTTGGAAATGAATGTTTGTGATGGCTGTACCACACTTTATGACAAAGAACTGTACATATTAAAATGATTAAAATGGTAAATTTTATGTTTTATATACATATTTTACCACAATAAAAAATTTCTGTATTTATATAAATGAAGCAAACTATTAGTATTTAAGGTTTAATCCCTCAATATACTCTAATATATCCAATACTTAAAAATTTCACCATTTAGGGTACAATTTTAATAAAAACTCAACCATTTAACTATTCTTAAATGGTGTTAACACATTTCCAAAATTAATTTTGCTGTGATAATGGATTGTTAAACATCCTCAGCTTCTTCTTAATTAAGGAAGACCTTTGTGACTGTTATGAAGGAAATAAGAAGTCTTAATTTAAGACATTTCTACAAAGGTTGCAAAAATACAACTTCAAATACCTTATAACCATCAGGTTTAATATACTGAAGTAAAAATATCCTACATAAGTTTCTTTAAGAAAATTTCAACAAAAAATTATATACTTTGTTCTGCTCTTATGTTTGCAATTGATGATACTATTAATTTTAGACTCGGCTCTGGGGTTTAAAAGTTGTATCCACGGTTCCATGAAAATGAGGATCACTGACAAGTTCCTAATGATTACAATAATTTATCTTTTTGCACTGTACCCATAATTGTCTCTAATTTGGGTATGGCTTATTTTCATACAGATTTAAAATGAGAAGATGGAAGAAAGTGCTTAACTGAAGTTTTACTCAAGTTTTATGCCAACCCAACTCTTTACCATTTTCTTGTCAGTATTCATGTCTCATTCTGTATTACTAAAAACTATATGCTAAGATAGTCTATAGAAAATCTGTGACTAAATATACTTAACTTCCTACACATCAATTATCTATACCTTTACTATTCATTCCAATCTAACTAGCATCCATATATTAGTTATTCTAACCATTACTCATTTAGTAGGCAATTTCCAACAGTATTCTAAAATGTAAACAAAAAACATCAAGGGTATTAATTCAATCTTATAAAGTATTTGAGAGGAATTCTGAAGTTCCTTTTCAAAAGAGTATAAAACTGTTTTCATAGGTTACTGATGAACTGTGACGAGCTCTGATATTAAGTAACATAAGAGTATTGAGTAAATGATCTACCATATTAAGCAGGTTACAGTCAACAGTGGTTTTGAATAAACTGAGGGATAGGAAAAAAAGAAGATGAAAGAAATGGTGGACAAGGTTTCACTTGAAAAATATGTTTCTCCCTAAAAACACCAAACATGGATTGAGCACACACAACTTTATTCCAGGGTCTATCTGTGGTCACTAGAATGATTTTTGAATGCTAGCATTAGCGACAGCAAAATGGTGGTGTAGGTTTTAAAAGACATGGGCCATTAAAACCATTTCACTATACCTCCCAAAAATTCTAAGGCAGTAAAATTTAAATGAACTAAGACTTATTTTATCTGCTATATTAATTTTAGTTAAAATTTATTATAAAGTACATTTTAAATGCTTTATAATAATTTACATTTTCATTTTTTCCCCTTTCCCTCAATCAATATAAAGGTTATATCCATCTCTGTGTGGGGACGTGAATTATAATTTCACCAATCTGAATATATATAGTAGTTTTTCAATTTGTGAAATGCCCATTTTCTTGAAGGCAAATGCTTTTCTAAGACTATAACCTTCAATCGTATCATTACGGAAAACAGTTTATTCTGGAACAATACTGTTTCTTAAGACAGTACTAGGTGAACAACAGAGTACTCAGAAACAGCTCTCAATCAATTAGATTACTTGCTTACATATTTTACTAAGATTCTAACTCTAAGCACTTTTTTCCTTAGCACTTACTTTTTTGGTCAAAGAGTCATCAGAATCCGAAGGCATTCTTGTTGACACATGAAATATTACTTCAACTGTAGAGGTAGCAAAATATGGTGTAGTCAATCCAGTGCTTTTATTTTTTTGTAGTCCTCCCATGAAACCACAATGGTTTGTAAGATTTACCTAGAAGCAATGAAAAGACACATAATGTTTATTAACTAAACCAAACTAAACTCTCTATGGAAAAAGACTCAAATCTCTCACTTCGCAAAAATACGGGGAATGAAGTCTTTTGCATACTACCAACCATGGCTTGTCCCAAAATTATTAGTCAGAGCTATCCTATACACTGGTAGATCTTAAGTATCTGAGGATCTCTAATTAGTAGGAGCTAATTAGCAAAGGAATCAACTGCTGAGCACTATACATCTTTTGTTAGGCTACTAGGTGTTAAATTGTAAAGGCTATGGGGGAGACACCAAGGGCAGAGAGTAAAAACCAACTGGCAAAAATCAAGAATGGAAATGATCTGGGGAAAAGTTAGAAAAAAAAACAAAAAACAGTGATGTCACTTTGATTAAATAATTAATTTGGTGTGACATATTTATTCATCAAAACTGGTTTCCTAATTATCAGTACCTATCATAGCCCAGAAAAAAAATACAAAAACGTACACTTCAAATGCATTAAAAAAAACTTCAAATTAATCTGTGCAAAGACTTTTAAATCTCTTCTCCCCAATTTTAAGTATGATATATTTAATATCGGGGTCATTTCACTGGATGATATCCCCTGGACTTGTTTGACACACAGACCAGTAACTTGTGCTCATTGTAGAAAACCGAAGAAATATTGTAAAGAAAAAACCAAAACTTAAACAATGCTTGTATCTCTCCGTTCAGAGAAACCAGCTATGTATATGCTTGTAAAAAACAAAATATAAATAAGTGCAAAGTAGAGACTTACAAAAGCAAATTTTTGCATATTTGAACTGAACATGTCTCTACTAGCAGTATATCCTACTAATGGATGAATGTATAAATAATAAGTTAGCTGTCGTGCCATTACCATAAGATTTCCTCATTTATAATGCTTTATATTTATTTTTAACTCAGTAATACATTCATACAATTAAAAGTTAAAAAGATACATCAGTATTTTTTCTTCTGTATTTCTCATCTCTAGCTACTAAGTATGCTTCCAAAAATGTTCTCTATACACAATTAAATTTTAAAGGTATGTATGTGTACATGCACACACACACAACATAGATATACAATGTTCTGCAACTTGCTTTAATGTGCTTAAAACTTCTTGAAAAATACTCTTAAAAAAAAAGAAAAATACTCCTTATTAGTAAGTAAAGAGCCTCCTCATCTTTTTCTTTTTATGACTTCACAGAAGTCCCTTTTCCTGATGTACAATAATTTAGTGCCCTACTTGAAGGATATTTACTTTCCCAATCTTTTGCTATTACAGTCAATGCTGCAATGGATAACACTGAACACATATCATGCTGCATTTGTGAAAGTAGATCTGTAGGACAAACAGTCAAAAGTGGAAATGTAAGATAAAGGACATGTGTATTTCTGATTTTTGAAATCCACTACCAAATTGCTCTCTGTAGATTGTACCAACAGTTGCATGAGTGTTTCCCTCATATGCTCTCAAATATATTATAAAACTGTATGACCTCTGCTGATAGGTTAAAAAAATGATATTTTAAGTGTACATTTTTGTTGTTTTGTTTTAGTGAGAAAGTTATTTACTTTCAAGTCAATTTTCTGAGTACATAAAGGAGAAAGTCTAAGTTTAGAGCTCCTTGCTATAACAGTTCTGTAACACGGGCAGATCTCTATTTTTTAATTAAATGTTTTATCTGGAGATTAATTATAGATTCTGCAAAGTTTTAAGAAATAATAGAAAGAGATCTTACGTACTCTTTGCTCAGATTCCCCCAATGCAGAGCCATATTATAACCAGGATACTGATATTGATATGACTGGGACAACATTTTCATCACCACAAGGATTCCCCATGTTGCCCTGTTACATGACCCACACCCACTTTCCCCCTACCCCACCTCCTTCTTAATGCCTGGCAATCACTAACTTGTTCTTTACTACTAAAACTGTCATTTCAAGAATGTTATGTAAGTGGACTATATGGCATGTAACTTTTCCAAGTGTTTGAAGATTTTCCCATTATTTCTCTGTTAATGATTTCAAGTTTGATCCTACTGTAGTTGGAGAACACACTGTATGATTTCAACACCTTAAAATGTGCTGAAGTTTCTTTTAATGGTTCATACATTGTCTATCTTGGTTCCTTAGACACTGAAAATATGTTATGATATTGCTGGGTGGGGTGTTTTATATAAATGTTAATTAGGTCCTATTGGTTGTTGGTGGTGTTGAGACCCTCTATATACTCGCTGATTTTCTGTCTACTTCTCTCAGCTGTTGAGAGAGGGGTAAAGTCTCCATTTATAATTGTGAAACTGCCTATTTCTTCTTTTGGTTCTATCAGCTCTGCTTCACATATTTTGCAGTTCTATTGTTTGCTGCACACATGTTTAGGATTTTTAAGTCTTCTTAGTGTACTGACCCTTTTATCACTGTTATAGAATGTCCCTTATCTCTGATAATTTTTTCTGCTCTGAAGCCTACCTTATCTAATATAAATTCAGTCACTCTGGCTTTAAGATTTGTACAATATAATTTTTTCTGTCCATTTACTTTCTACCAGCCTGTATTATTATACTCAAAGTGAGTTTCTTTTACAGTGCATATAAGTGAGTCATGTTCTTTAATCCACTCAGCCAATTTTTGGGAAAAAAAATTAATCTATTTATTTGGCTGCCTTGGGTCTCAGCTGAAGCACATGGGATCTTTCGGCATGCTGGATCTTTCACTGTGGCATGCTAGCTCTTTGCTGTGGTTTGCAGGCTTCTCTCTCAGGTTGTGGTGTACAGGCTTTAGAGCATGTAGGCCCAGCAGCTGCAGCACATGCATGGGCTTAGCTGCCCTGAAATATATGGGATCTCAGTTCCCTGACCAGGGATCAAACCTGCTTCTCCTGCACTGGAAGGTGGATTCTTAACCACTGGAGCACCAGGGAAGTCCCGACTCTGCCAATTTTAATTGTTATATTTAAATCATTAATATTTCCTGTAATGACAGATATGTTAGAGCATAAGCTCACCATTTTATTTTTTTGTTCTCTGCATATTTGCTGTTTTATTTTTTCTATCTCCCACGGGTTATTTGGAACATATTTTAGAACTCTGATTTTAGTTATCATTTTGAGTATATCTTCTGTTGTATGTTTCTTACTGGTTTTTCTTGGTATTTATTATATTAAACATACCTTATTACAGTCTACCGATGTTGTCATTTTACCAGTTTGAGTGAAACAGAGAAACCCTATGTCACTTTATGTCCTTTAACCCTCCTGTTTGTAATATAATTGCCATGAATATTTGCTTGGTGGTGGTGGTGTTTAGTTGCTAAACTCTTTTGCGACCCCCATGGACTGTAGCCTGCAAAGCTCCTCTTCCATGGGATTTCCCAAGCAAGAATACTGGAGTGGGTTGCCATTTCCTTCTCCAGGGGATGATATTTCCAACCCATAGATTGAACCCATGTCTCCTGATTTACAGGCGGATTCTTTAACAATGAGCCACATGGGAAGCCCAATTTCCAGTATACTATAGTTATATATGTATACTTTACATATATTTTCCCCTCACATCACAATTACTGAAGCCCACGTGCCTAGAGCCCAAGTTCCGCAGCAAGAGAAGCCACTGCAATGATAAACCCATTCAAAGCAATGTATAGTAGTCCCTACTAGACACAACTAGAGAAAGCCCACATATAGTAATGAAGACAGCACGGCCAACAATGAATAAATTAAAAATAAAAATTAAAAAAGTAGGTTCCTCCATTTATATATATTTTAAATATGAATTAAAATTTTAATATATGATGAACATATATGTATATTCTTCAAAATCTCAGAGCACAAATTTTGCTGATCCAATATATATAAAATGTCTGCTATTAATGACAAATCAATCAACCACATAAAATTCATTTTCTGTTAGAACATGTCTGCCTCACCATTTTACAATTTAAATAAACATACTACTTCAAATCTGTGACAAACACCTCACTTCCCAGTTATAATTATTAAGACAGACAAATTGGTTCAGGAACCTCGACATGAATTGGCTGCTAGCATGACATAAAGTGCAGCACCTTCCAATATTTCCTGCTTTGCTATTGAAGATACTGTCTCTCAGGAACATGCCCTCTTTAATGAACTGTCTCTCTTTTGGGTACCAAACCTTAGAGGGCAATGTAGGCCTCAGGTGAGTGAGAAGTATACTTTAACAAAGATGAAAAACAGAAAAGGAGAGGCAAGAGACTGGTAGAAGGGTTCTCATACATTAACTTTAGTAAAGTTGAGGATCTAGAAATTTATCTCCTCAAAACTAACCATGCCAACATGATTAGCTTGAATCCTTGGGACAGTCCTAGAATATTTATATCTTCATTTTAAGATCACTAGTCTAATGGTCATAATTATGAGGAAAATCCGGATCTTTTAAGTTTATGAGTTTAGCACACTCTGACAATATATTATATGATAAAACAGTCAAAAGATTTCCTAAGTCCCAATTGCTGCTGTCTTTGTAGATGAGATATAAGGCAGAAACAATAACAAATCCATTGTTAAGTTGCTGAGTCTCCTAAAATAATGCTTCTAAAGTAAACTAAAAGGAAAAAGAAAACTGCTGCTTCCAAATAGAAATAAAATGATATTTATATAATTTAAAAACAATACCTCCCAACCAAGACCAGCTACAAAATCTTCATATGCTTGACTTCCTCCTGTATTGGTGAGAATGGAATGTTTGTCTTCTTGTCCTTCAGCAACATAAAATACTGCAATCTTGTGTGTCTCTCGGCTATAAAACAAAAGATTTCACCATTCTTTTAATCATTAATTCATCCAATAATAAACTTCTAAATTCTAAATGGGACAATAAAAAAGATGAAAATGAATTAAACCTTATAATCTACAGAGAGAGATCTAAGTAACTGTAAGTAAAAAATTCTGAAAGTTACAAATTTGTGATCTGAACTGAAGAAAAGCATGATTACTTCTGACTGAGAAATTAGACAGAAATTTAAAAGAGGAGGTAATATGAAGCTCGGTAAAGGTAACTAAGATTTGATAGATGAAGAGAAGCTATCAGGAAAGACTCATAGGTGTGAATGCACAAAGCATCCGAAGAGCTGCCTGTTGTACAATGTGGCTGAATCCCAGAGTTAGAGGGGCTGCGTTTTAGAACTAAAACTAAGTAGGAGTACAGAGATGAATGAGAAATGATCCATTTCTCCAAATTACTTGTAAGAAATTCATACATAAATACTATAAAACTTTATGAAATAACTGACAAGTTCTGACATTTTAGTTTTAGTTCTCCCTAAAACTAAAAATGCTCCTAAAAGCAAACTTCTTGTATGAAATTTGGCTTTCCAAGATAACAATAAATGACTCAAGAAAACAAGAACTACCAATGTACTTCTGGTTCAAAGACACAAAGTAGAAAGTAAAAGAAATGGAAAAAGATGCTATGCAAACAGTAATCAAAAGGGCTGATGTTGCTATATTAGACTTTTAAATAAAAATGTTACAGGTAGTTCAGAGAAAGATGTCTTAGGGTGAGGTGGGGGTTGGTTTGGGTACAAGGGGTTCTTTTTTCCTTTCTGTGTATATATGTCATTAATCCGACAATTCCTCCTCCCCATTTGTCTGTCCCCATTCCCATATTTGTATGGTATAAGCAATAAAGACTAAAAAGCTATTAGAGCTAGTAAATGACTTCAGAAAGGATTTAGGATATAGTATCAACATACAAAAAACCAACTGTACTTTTATAAACTAACAATGAACAATCCAAAAACAAAATAAAGAAAGCTATTTCTTTTATAATAGCATCAAAAATACACAATAAAAATGCTTAACAAAAATATTTTGTACTAACAAAAGTACAAAACTTAAATACTCTGAAAGCCACAAAATGTTGTTGAAGAAAAGTAAAGATCTTTTAAAAAAATCCCATATTCATGGACTTAAAAACTTATTATGATAATATTTACCAAATTGATTATAAATTGAATACAACTTTTACCAAAAATCCTAGCTTCCTTTTTTTTGGTAGAATTTGATAAGCTGATCCTAAAATTCACAAGAAAATGCTAAGAATTCCAAATAGTCAAAATAATCTTGAAAAAGAAGAATGAAGTCAGAGGACTCATAATTCCCAGTCTTAAAGCCTGCTACAAAACTACAGCAATCAATGGACTGCGGGACTATCATGGGAGTGAAAGTAGTTCATTCCTGGCCGACTCTTTGTGACCCCCTGGACTGTAGCCTGCTAGGTGCCTCTGCCCATGGAATTCTCCAGACAAGAACACCAGAGTAGGTAGCCATTCCCTTCTCCAGGGGATCTTCCTGACCCAAGGACAGAACCTGGGTCTCCTGCACTGCAGGCAGATTCTTTACCATCTGAGCCTCCAGGGAAGCCACAGCAGAGACATACATATGTAGTCTTCTGTGACAGGATTTTTAGCACAGTGTTTCCAAAATTCATCTATGTTGCAGCATGTGTCAGCACTTTATTTCTTCTTATCCCTGAATAATACTGCATTTGTGAATGTACTACATTTTGTTTATTCATTCATGAGTTGTTGGATATTTGCGTCAGTTTCACTTCTCGGCTGTTATGAATAATGCTGCTATAAACATTTGTGTCATTTTTAATGGACAAAAAAGGCTTTTTGCAGCAGTACCAAACCAATTCAATGGGAGAAAAAAATTAGTATCTTCAACAAATGGTCCTGAGGTAACTGGATATCTGTAATGCAAAAGAATAAAGTTGGAATCTTACCTCACACCATATACAAAAATTAAAAAGCATCACAGACTCTAAATTTAAGGTCTAAAATATAAAAATCTTATTAAAAAGTTCACAGAACTATAAAATGTCCATGTAAAAAATGACCTGAATGTTTATAGCAGGATTATTCATAACAGCCATTTTGAAGGAAATACTCTAAAATTAAATTGCTGTGATAGCTGTTTATGAATATGCTAAAAACATGTACACTTTGAGTGAACCTTATGGTATGTGAATTATATCTCAAGAAACCTGTTGATTTAAGTCGGAAGTATGAAGTAAATTTAAGTTGGAATTATGTGTAAACTCTGAATCTGGCAGAAAGGGGACCTCTCAGTGTTCTCAGTATTCCAGGTAAAGGACTATCGGCTAGAACTCATAAATCACAATTAACAAACTTGTGCAAAATTATATACAAATGTTCACCTATTACTAAGTCAAAAAGAGAAATACATGTGCCAAATAGGAAAATTTAGAAAATAAATCTTCAAAATGCAAAAGTAAAAGAGGAATCACTTTATATTATCTATGCCCTTTTTAAAATTTGTAAAAGTAGAGCTTGTTGTTGTTTGGTCGTCCAGTCATGTCTGACTCTTTGCGACTCCATGGACTGCAGGCCTCTAATGTGAAGGAGACCTTACCTGCCCTTTAACATCAGATGTTAATTTTTCACCATTCCTTCTTATTTTTCTACTTACGACTTCTGCTAAAATGCTCAGTGTATATCAGATTGCCATTAAATTATTATGTACCACAAAAGTGAATGAAGTAAAAAAGATTAGAAAAAAGTGAGTTTAGTGAACTTGTAGGCACAAATATTCTATAAGTCGAGTACTGGCAAAACATTATGAGCTTACTATTGGAAAGTTAAAAGTGAAATATGCTAAGTTACAAGCACTCTGATTCCCTATATATACATTGCAACAGAAAGAATTAAAAAAATAATTGAGATTTGAAATTTAAAAATATGGTAGTTCAACCATGAAAAATAGGAATGAGTTTATTTAGTCAAAGAAAACAGAGGATCTATAAATGGTTGAAGAGATAAGGCTATAAAAAGTATCTTTTCCTTTTCTTTCTCCCTAATCCTGCAAACAAATAATCAGGTTTGTTTCCAGATTCTTGGCTTAAGAAGCAGCTCAAAGTTGCCTTACTATCACATAATTAGAATGAATTTTTACTTGAACCCATTATGTCAGAAGAAGAAAGGGAACTGGTTTCATTATTTAAATCTTATAAAAAAGCAAAATAAATGTCCTGTGTTCATTTGGCATATAATATCAAAAAGAGAATCTATGCTGTCTCAGTGATGATGTCCTCCATATACTCCAGCTATATATGAGAATGGAAGTAGTTTAGCAGAAGCCAAGAAACAGAAAAGCATAAGGTAATGTAAAGAAACCATGAATGGCCAAGATTGGCTGGTATGGCCTGAGTTCTAAAGAGTCTGATCAGGCACTGGGAAGCCACTAAGGAATAAAACAAAAATTTCACTTCAGAACAAGGTAATTTTAACATGACTTTTGAAGCCAGGGGAAAAGAACATTTAGAGGGAAGAGACACATGATAAAAAAAAAACAGAGAACAGACAACAGTATTGCATTTTTAGGGGATATAATACTCATGAGGTTTTTAGGGCAGATACTACTCTGTATTATATTGTAATGGGGTATGTGCACTCAGTCGCTTCATTCGTGTCTGTCTTTTGTGACCACATGGACTACAGCCCAGCAGGCTCCTCTGTCCATGGGATTCTCCAGGCAAGGATACTGGAGTGGGCTGACATGCCCTCCTCCAGGTGATCATCCCGACCCACGTCTCTTGTGTCTCCTGCACTGCAGGTGGATTCTTGACTGCTGAGCCATGGGGGAAGCCCGAATGGTGTACACGTGTCATTATACATTTGTTAAATCTCATAATCTCATACAATATACAATGCCAAGAGTGAACTCTAACATAAAATTCAGTTAATATAACATATCAATATTGGGTCATCATTGTACAAATATACCACAATGATACAATATAAAAATAATATGGGTAACTATGTGTTACCCACAATCACAGAAAACTAACCAATCTAATCAAATGGACCACAGCCTTGTCTAACTCAATGAAACTAAGCCATGCCATGTAGGGCCACCCATGGGTCATGGTGGAGAGTTCTGACAAAACGTGGAGAAGGGAATGTCATACCACTTCAGTATTCTTGCCTTGAGAAACCCCACGAACAGTATGAAAAGACAAAAAGAGAGAACACTGAAAGATGAACTCCCCAAGTCAGTAGGTGCCCTATTGGGGCATATTTGCTACTGGAGATCAGTGGAGAAATAACTCCAGAAAGAATGAAGGGACGGAGCCAAGGCAAGAACAACACCCAGTTGTGGATGTGACTGGTGATAGAAGCAAAGTCCAATGCTGTAAAGAGCAATATTGCGTAAGAACCTGGAATGTTAGGTCCATGAATCAAGGCAAATTGGAAGTGGTCAAACAGGAGATGGCAAGAGTGAACATTGACATGTTATGAATCAGTGAACTAAAATGGACTGGAATGGGTGAATTTAACTCACATGACCATTATATCTACTACTGTGGGCAAGACTCCCTTAGAAGAAATGGAGTAGCCATCATAGTCAACAAAAGAGTCCAAAATGCAGTACTTGGATGCAATCTCAAAAACAACAGAATGATCTCTGTTCACTTCCAAAGCAAACCATTCAATATCATGGTAATCCAAGACTATGCCCCGACCAGTAATGCTGAAGAAGCTGAAGTTGACTGGGTATATGAAGACCTACAAGATGTTTGAGAACTAACACCCAAAGATGATGTCCTTTTCATTATAGGGGACTGGAATGCAAAAGTAGGAAGTCAAGAAACACCTGGAGTAACAGGCAAATTTGGCCTTGGAGTACAGAATGAAGCAGGGCAAAGGTTAATAGAGTTTGGCCAAGAGAACACACTGGTTATAGCAAACACCCTCTTCCAACAAGACTCTATAC